ATAATAATAATAATGATAATAATAATAATAATGATAATGATAATAATAATAATAATAATACGATAGTAAATATTAAGAATGGTTTATTGCTCTCCAAGTAGAAGGTTATATGATAAGTTTCTGTTACTTACACTAGGGGGCGGTGTTGCAGTCGGTTCATTTGGATTAATTGGTGGATTATTTCTTGGAGAACCTTTGAGAAACAGGAAACAAGCATTTAGATCTTAAATGCATCATTACATACAACCAACCTTGGATATCATATGCACAAGTACTAAATTATTACCGATTCAATCACGTTATTTAGTACAAACACTATATTATTTACCTGACGAATACGTACATGTAAGTTGTCCTTTGATTTTGAAGGTAACACATTGCGATGGGGTCCATGTCAGACCTTCACACTTGATAGCAATCTTGATGACTCGACCATCGAGAGAAGGATCTGCTGCTGACGATGGCTGGTACTAACAACAACGAAGGGAAAATCAGCTTCGCGCAGATCTATCATTTTCTATGTTGTCTTTTACAACGGAATTGTGATCATTATCGAAATATATTATTTATCATACTAACTCACCGGTCCAACGTACACAGTTCCTGTTTTATTATATTGAAAGGCCAGCTTGCTTTTCAGATTGGACCCAATCAACTTGACCCAGGAACCATCACATTCCAGAAATGTTGCATTTGCTGCTATGACTTTACAGCTTTTATCAGAAGGGATATTCCCTACATAGTTATTGTCGTTGTGAGGTCCTAGAATTGGTAGTGTTAATAATGGATCATGGTCTCCCTTGCTACCTGGACGTTCTAAAGTATATTCGCAAGCTGAAAGTGGAAACAAATTACCCCCGTGAATATAGAAAACCTTTCTTCTCATGACTTAATGCATGGATACAATAATGAATACTGACAAATATTTTTGAATATAATTGCAATAAACCCTAATGATCGCTGAAACATTTCTACCTGCATGCTGCTGCACAATCGAGTTGTCAGTACATCCCCATTGGTTGTTATAAAAACCAAACGTGCTCTTGCCCTGATTGCAAACACATTGACATCTGTCCACTAGTTTTTGACCACGAAACTTTGTACAAGCATCATCACTACTGGAGCACTCAGAAATGTTAAACTTATCGATAGAATCGACTACACTATTGGTCAACTTATTTGTTGAGTTACGCTCTATAATAAAATCCCAAGCAATTGCTGAAGAAACAAGTCCATAAACAATCGAAGCAACTATAAAGAATTTCATGGCAGTCATTTTGTTTTCCAATTCATAGATTTCATTTAAACAATTTCGTTGCAATTGACCCTGATTTTCAAACCGTAGGCTTTGCTTCGTGGTACCTTCACAATGAAGTTATAGCAAAGGTTATTTTCCAAAGAACGAGAGAGAGAATCGGAGTAAAACATCAAAAAATAAGATCGGGCAATAAACATACGTCATCTTAGTCGCATAATCAAGCACATTCTTTCATGACTTAAAATAAATTTCTGCGTTAAGAGAACCTTCTTGATTCTCTTAAACAAATATCATAATTTATCATTTCTTGACAGTAAAAATAAAAGAGCACCCATTTCTTCTGTTAAAGTGTCATTGACTGATTATTTATTAACTGCATGGCTCACTTGCTTGCTTAAGGCTGAGTGTATGCATAATATCATAAAAAGGTTTTAAGACATAAGTAATGCTATTAAATTAGTTAACTAGAATTGTGGATTAAATTGTCACATAAAAATAAAAAATAAAACAATGTTAGGTAAGATTTTTTTGGATTTACGTGCGACCTGTGACGTCTAGGTTAGGATGGCTAACGATGATGTCACGGATCAGGAATTTTAAGCAATTTCCGCATGGGTCGTGTTTGTGACGGAGTTTTTTTAAAAATAGTGTTAAGAATTTTATCATAGATCATATCTTGCTAAGAAATTTTTTAATATATGCTAGAAAAAAATGAAATCCGTTTTAAAATAGTTCATTTCTTGTTAATATTATGTCATATTTCGTGTGAAAGTCCAATCTAACTCATACCTCAGTCCTTGAGGCACCAATTAAGAAATACAGTAATTGCGAATAACTAACCATGCACCTATTTATTGAAAGCTTTTTCGTTAATTGGCCTAGGGTACAATAATAATAGATCGTTAGATCAGGTAGATGGAGTACAAACATTAAAAGCGTGCAATACTTTGCACTATTTAGAACTAAATAGCACTAATTACATAATAGAAAACAATAGAATTAGCACAATTTCACAGTATTTAGTACTATTGATGTTGCAAATCTTTAGTGTTTGTACTCTAGCAAAAACTAGTTCTAAAGGCCTTTTTTAATTAGACCTAAGATAAGACCTAAAATATTGAATTGTTTCATGCCATCAGTTCTTGCTTTGAGGTGGTAATCATCTATCTCTTCGTTACCAGTCTTCCTAATGCAAACACCAAGGCATCGCCACAGGGTAACCATTATCTTGACAATTCTTGAAGGTTTCTCCTCGGAAGGAAACCTCCACTATTATTAATACTGAAGGATGCCTGACAGATTGCTCACGAAAGTGAACATTATTTATCAATTTTTTCGTTTCTTCTAATTCTTTTAGAGTCGCTATGCTGTTAGTGTTGTACGATTGACATAAGTTTTTTTAAATGCAACTCGAGAAAAGGCATTCTCCCAGCATCTATTTTGCGTTCCCACCTATGCCGATTTCAGATCACAAGTGTGATCACAGAAAAATACTAGGAGCCATTACCTGAAACACTCAAGTTTATATTTGAGTACTATAGTTGTTGATCTGTGAGATATTCACATAAGGAGGCTCAACTTGCTTTCTGTTTCCAGAGTTTCGATAAACAGGATTCATGATCTCGTAGTGACTCTCATCGTCTCTGTTGGCAACAGGGTGATTGACGTAGTCTGGATCTAAAAATAATTAATATATATTAAAGACGTTTCTTTGATTATAAAATTTACAGCGAATAACTTTTTCCCATTCTCGTAACCAGACCCTTCTTGGCGAAAAGTCGATTCGCCTTTTCGATTTTTTGCTACTTCAAAAGTCATTCAAGTTTGTTTTACATCATAAGCGATAGGTTTAAGTATGTCAGTATTGGTGAGAATAATGAGGAATTGTTGTTACGGAAGAAACATGTCCGCTTTGAAGGAATCTGAATAAACGTTTATCCCATAAGACATTTCTTTGTGCACTTGTCAGCAATTTAATTCTGCACTGTTTTTTAATTCCTTCGCCTCGATACAATGGTAAATTATTTTTCCGGTTTAACATACTTTAAGTTGGTATTGAATAACTTCGACTTGACTTATTACCAACCTTGGTAAGTTACCATTCTTACTCTTGGATAATGGTAATGATTATTAAAAATCTCCCGCGCTGATTGGTCGAAAAACTCACACTATCACACGATAATCGGCCTCCAGCCATAATCCAAAATGGCGGCCAGCCGTTTTGTTGCTGTTACCGGGAAAAAATGTATCTTATTTCTTCTTTTTTTCTTTCTTCTTTTGAAAGAATCACCTGTGTAATTATACTAAAACAATTATTCACCTCAGGCTCAGTGAGTATCGGGAATAATAATTGTTAATTAATGGGTTTATAATTTGGCTTTGAATAATTACCTTGGCAAGTCCTCATTACCTCTCTTGGGTACTGATAGTGCGGCGAAGTTTCTCTTTCGTACCTACTAGTTTCTTGATTTTCTGCCACGGCAACATCAATATTTTAAACACTGCCCGCTGTTTGATTTCTTGATAATTGATAATTGATACCTTACAATATCATACCTTGGCCTGGTACTGGTGCTTCTCTAAGGCTTTGATAGTATGGATCAACTTCCCTCGTGGTACTACCACGAAGTTGAGCAGACTCTTGATTATCTGAAAAAAGTCGAAAATAGTAATATGTGGACTTGTCTTACTATGCTTGCAAACGTACAGGCACACATTTTTTCCTCTCGAGCTCGTTCTTGTAAGTTGGAAAAGAGTCTCTGATATAAGATTAATGATTATAGTAAGTCGGACTCCTCACTGTAAATGCTTTTTGATTACTTAACTTAAAGGATTCAGGCCTAGATACCATATTGCAGTTTGCTAGCAACTAAATACTTCGTAGCAAGTACCGCGACTTTTCAAGCCTTCATTCCTTTTACTCTGACGAAGTGCATGTTCGAATTGTCAAGACTATGTTAGTGGTGATCTGACGCTGTAAAACCCTCCCCCTTGTATGGATATATACTTAGTCTTTATTATGGCTGTTTTATCCGGCAATGTGGGACTGCATTAATAATCGACTTACCGTTATCTTCTGTTCTTTCCGTCTTTTCCATCACTTCACTAGTTTTTTCACTGGGGGCGACAAGAAAAAAGTTTAGAACCTATCCCCTGTCACATTTTAGACTGGGCCCGGTCGTACGAAATGTGGATAGCGCTATCCGATGGATAAATTCCTATGCAGTGCATATAAGTCGATGCCGGATAAGATTTATCCGTCGGATAGCCCTATCTATTCTTCGGCCTTTATTATGTCATTTTAACCGTTTCAAAACCATCCTCCATGTGCTAACAGAATTTTATGACTCTGCTAAAGCAGGGAAAATATAAGAAAATATCGGATATAACACAGGGTCAGCATAGGTCAGCATACCCCAAAGAATTGCAACTCACTTTGCTTTAGCTTTTTTTCGTCTCAAGTATATCACCAATGTAATAATAACCACGACGAAAATGATCAAGATAACCGCACCAACCACTGAGCATGCGATAACTGCTGCAGCAATTGTTGGCTCGTCATCATCAGATTTTTCTTTGCCAGTTGTCATGATCTATGTAATAATAACAATAGTTATATTAGGATAGTTTTTATATTATATATTGCTAGCCATCCCGCGAAAATTAAGGTCTTTTACAATACATAACTATATCACTTTATGATAGTCTTTTATTTGCAAGAAACAAAGCTTGCATCGTCAGTACATTTTCTCCTAGCTGTTTTGTGAAAGTGAATATTGTTATGATCGGCACTTCCTGAAACAAAATTTTGTCAAAGATAAAAATAATCCATATGTTGCTCCCGATATATTAATATATGGATATAATTTTTGTTGGTGGTCACAATTTTTGAAAATGGCTGTATAAGATTATTTCAAACTCAATGGACGATAATGGATGTACTTTTCGTGTTGTGCTCACTGCAAGTGATTGAGTTGTCACATGAGGAACCTTTGTTGAACCTTTAGGAAAACAAACAAAAAAGAGCATTTACTCATGTACATAGGGGTATTCAATTACCTACTCCTCATTTCTTGTGTAGTACAAGTTACAAAGAAAAAATTAAGATTAAGTTAAACCTACATGTAAGCTGTCCTTTGATTTTGAAGGTAACACACTGTGATGGGTTCCATGTCAGCCCTTCACACTTGATAGCAATCTTGATGACTCGACCATCGAGAGAAGGATCTGCTGCTGATGATGGCTGGTACTAACAACAACGAAGGGAAAATCAGCTGTGCGCAGATCTATCATTTTCCATTTTGTTTTTTACCAACGGAATTGTGATCATTATCGAAATATATTATTTATCATACTAACTCACCGGCCCAACGAACACAGTTCCTGTTTTATGACCTTGAAAGGCCAGCTTTCTTTTCAGATTGGACCCAATCAACTTGCCCCAGGTACCATTACACTCCAGAAATGTTGCATTTGCTGCTATGACTTTACAGCTTTTATCAGAAGGGATATTCCCTACATAGTTATTGTCGTTGTGAGGTCCTAGAACTGGTAATGCGAGTAATGGATCATGGTCCCCCTTGCTACCTGGACGTTGTAAAGTATATTTGCAAGCTGAAAAGGAAAAAATCCCTTCCATGAATATAGACAACCATTCTTCTCATGACTTAATGCATGGATACAATAATGAATACTGACAAATATTTTTGAATATAATTGCAATAAACCCCAATGATCGCTGAAACATTTCTACSTGCATGCTGCTGCACAATCGAGTTGTCAGTACATCCCCATTGGTTGTTATAAAAACCAAACGTGCTCTTGCCCTGACTGCAAATACATTGGCATCTGTCCACTAGTTTTTCACTACGAAACTTTGTACAAGCATCACTACTGGAGCACTCAGAAATGTTAAACTTATCGATAGAATCGACTAAACTATTGGCCAACTTATTTGTTGAGTTACGCTCTATAATAAAATCCCAAGCAATCGCTGAAGAATAAGGTTGCAAAATTACAATAGCAGAGAATATGAAAAGCTTCATGATGATCATCTTCGTTTGGTTCACTTAAGTCACTTTTAATTTCTCGAAGCTGCATCAACATACATAACAGTGAGGTTGTACAACGTATATTCTGCCATCATGCTACATGTTTTCACACTAAAAAGACAGGAAGTTAAGGCGATGAACCGTAAAATGATCATGATATATTAGAAACTCGATGGTAATCAAACGTAGAATTACTCAGGCTTGCAACGACATCTCATAAATCTATTGAAATCTTTGTTTTATCAATAAGAGCCAGTGTTTCAACAAAATCAGTAGTACTGAAGAAAAATCAGATCGCCACTACTTTCTCTAACTATAGTAGTTTATGAAGCACGTACATAAACCAAATGCGGAATATGAGTTTAGATCATTGAAACTGATGATCCAGAAAGTTTTTTGAAAAACCCTCGAGCTCCAAGAAGACGTTGATTAATTATACTGATGCGATCGACCAGGATGGAGTGGTATCGAAGTCACCATGTGAAACGATGGATAGAAAATATCGAATAATGACCTCATATATACGCTCTGTTTTACCATCTTAAACCTTGTGACCAATTCATGGGGGATTTAAGATTATTTTATTGATTGGTAATAAAAATTAAACATATTTAGAAACCAGCTAGTTGGAATTAAAAGTAAAATGAAAAAAAGTATAAAACGAGTCGTACATATACAGGCACGTGGAAAGATCTTTACATGACAACGTTCCTGCAATTAGGTGTATATAATATTTTTATTTTCACTTCAGGTTACAAGCTGAGTTACATATCAGAAGATTCAAACTAAAATAATCTGGAGAACGTTGGAAGCTTAGTTACGGTATGTACATAGTTGTCAGGCGATGCATTCTGATAAGTCAAATAACCATAAAATTTATGTTAACAAATTTTGTGGTTTCAAAACTGAAGCAATATGGAAGACAATGCATTGAGGTACATAAACTGGTGATAACATGGACTTAGAGATCTTAGAGGATATATACTGAGGAAGGTAATTAGAAGTAACTAGAGGTAACTAGAGGAATTCCCCACAAGGGGAATCTAATGCACATCTTATGACTATTTGGTTTGAATGTTTTGCAGGGCTAACTGCTATGGTTTACTGACAACCCCGAGCAGACGACCTTATAAAAAAAATTACAGATTAACAAAAAAAGGTTAGCGGCATGGGATACGTCTCGCATGAATATCGATCGATAGACGGCATGGTCATCTGATGATAAGGCTAGCCATTCAGGTCACTGCACTTGCGAGTAACCGATGGGTCGATTCGTCTAGAAACTTGCGTCGGCTCTTCCTTGTCACGCACTCACAAACTTCCATGTATCATCTAACGACGACGCCGACATCGACAAACTCGGTCAGCAAGACATCGGCGGGTCACAGAGACAACATAAAACGCTAACTGTATCAAAGGCTGAGCGACAAACACTGTTAAAACTAGAATGCCACCAGACCATAAGTTGATGTTCTCATAGTCCAGCAGACGGTACACGTAGCTTCTGCCTTGGATATTGGTACCCCCCGAAGCATAGTAAATACCGGTAAATATGATGTACAAAATCGTAAAGAGCATTGGGTATACCACGTGACACATGCGTACTGGAATTCCACAAATGAGAGTTTCCATGACAATCAATCCCATTCCGACTACTTCCTTAGTTAGGACATTAGCGTAAAAGCTTTGCTCTTCGAATATATCATTCCAGTGTCCGATAGCCACCAGGACGCTAGTATTTGTGGAAATGCTGTAAAGTAGCCAGTAGACTTGATGACAAACAGTGGTTCCGCCTCTCATCCGCCCGGAACTTCCTAAAAAGTTGAATGATATTTGTCATTCGGGCTCCTTTGGTTTGAAATTCTAAATAAGCTTTGATAAAGTGACACCCTAGTTCTACTGTTTTCCCAATGATATTAATATCTTGAAGTCTCCCTGATTGGCTCAGTGTTCCCGCTACGGCACCTGGATCATGGATAAAATTACGCCGTACGTCAATATCGTAAGTCAAGTTTAGCGCTGTTCGTTAAAGAATAGGCAACCTACGTGTTTCCCCCTCTTTTTTTCCTTTTTTCCTTAGTTTCTTCCATTTTCCTTTTCCGTCTCTACTCGACTGATTTTTCGCTCTAAACTGATATGTAATACATTATATACCTACCAGAAAATGAACTAACAATATCTTCCTCTTCTTTCTCGATACTGCTTTTGATTTTCCTCGTATTTTTGGGAGATTTCTCTTCCCGGCTTATCGTGGGAGATATGATAGCTGGCTCAAGTTTATCTGCGCATTCTTTTGTCAGCTCGTCTTCCTTCCTCGGTACTTTCTCACACGTAGCTGTTTCTTTATCAGCGGATATTTTAAAGTCCTTTGACTGGTCAAAGGGGCAATTGTCTGCTAACAAGGCTAGTGACTGTCGCTCGACATTTTCGTCTTCATTGCCGTACCGTTTGTCTTGCCTCTGCATGAGTGTGATGCAGGACAGGTTCATGCCAATAGCGAAATAAAAAGCGATCGTGGTGAAGTAGAGGTTTGTGAAGTAGATGAACATTTTTCCCTTGTTCATGTTGACTGACATGTTGTACAACCACCAAGACATGAGGTAAAAGGCTGCTAGTCCTCGATAGACGCCCAAGACAACAGGACTGAACCACTGAAAAACAACGCCATGACATTGAATAAAACCTAACAATAATGTATCACGGCATCTTGAGATTTGCTTCTCATTGAAGTGACAACCATATAAAATTTTCCTTGTTAGATGGCAAAGCATCTATGCAAAAACTTATACTTTGCAGTGATGCGAGACTAGTCTCAAAATGTTTGTCTTGCGGCAAAACTTTGAGTGGCATTAGAAGACAGTAGTTCTACTTTATTTCTAATTTATTGTCAAATGTTCTCCCCAACTGAAGCTTCAGGAGCATGGTATGTTACGCGGTGAGACATTTGGCTTAAACTTGTCTCGCAACATAACTTTCGCTGTGTTGCAGGGCGTTAAACAGCTTGCGGTTGTGACCAATGATTGCACTAGAATTTGGGGCTGAATGTTGTATGATTTTTGGGAGAAAGGAAATCCGAAGGACCCGAAACAAACCCTGAAGCTAGGAGAGAACAATTAATACTTAGATTCAATACTTTGTGCTGCTTGATGAACAAGGATGGGATCTGAAAAAATGACTTATTTAACAGATTTAAGCAAGTGCTAATGCCAAAAAGAACAATCCAAGCGGAATGTCGAAACTAACCACCTTTGTTTAATGAGTTTGAAAAAATATAAGACTGGGAGGAACAATATGATGAACAAACAAATCAACCCTTCCTTAAAGGCAACACAGAAATAAAAAATACGACTAGAATGTTGTTTTTTTTTATTAAAAATTAAATTGAATTATAGATTCAGCTTTATATAAAAAAAGATCAACGAACAGCTAACAAAAAATTATTTCATCATTGCTTACGCGCGTTTTACCAGTTTACCGAGTCTTATAATCTAACTACAGCATGAAGAAGAAGTGAACCCTTGTTGGAAGCTTATGATGTGATATGTTATCAAGCCTGGTTCTCGCTAGCGACGCAAGCATATTTACAGCGCAAGCCAGCGCAAGAAAAACAAATCTTCTGTTCTCTTGCACTTGCGTCGCTTCTTTTTCAAAGTCAGAACATGGAGTTGCGTCTGCTTGCGTCCCTGGTGAGAACAAGGCTTTGGGATGCATCTTTTTAGTAAGGTATTTCATGAGGTAGTTATGCAGCTGTTATGTAGAACTTTATGTATACTTACGGGCGACTTCGTGAAATCTTTCACCGACGAATGGCATAGTTTAAGATTCCCCAGCCGCGGCCATCTTTTCATTCTTTTTTCTTCGCTTTTCATTGTGCACGCCTAAACAAAATAAAACCATATAAACGGATAGTTACTCCAGTTCCGTCACTTGTTATTGTTTAGGTTGTGGATCAACTCAAAAACACAGTGCGACAGTGCTTGGCAATCTCTGATAAAACACCAACGCGATGGAATTAGATAAAAGCTATTTTTTCAGAAACAAACATCACTTTGCGGTTAACCGTTGTTGTGCTATAATCTATAACTACCTAAGGGGCTAGTAAAAGCGATTAAAATCTCACATCACATCACATCATATCTTATTCATATTTAATGTAAATGAGTCAGTAACCAGGGAGTCAATTTTGACTTGTAATTAATAAAAACAAACTGATAATCTCTTAATATATTTTTTAAAAGTTTGTTGATTCTCTGTTCTCTGAGAATTTTTTTTCGAACTGGTTCTATTCCCTTTATCAGTTGAATCAGTGACAGTGTGGCTATTTCAAATGCTTCGAGGCAATTTACTTGAATTTCTAGTTATATTCCTTGAGAACGATTATTTCCATTAAGCCTTGTAGGAACTGTATTGACAGGTCTATTTAATGGTGCAGAATGAGCCCGAAACAAGTCCACATATTTGAATAACGATTTAAAAAGTATGAGTTAAGGAGGCTCTCTACTGTACACTTTCGCATAAAGTGTTCAGTCTCGGTGTAGSGACTTCAAGAATTAGGCCTGGAATGGCAATAAAAATACGATCAATATCACAATACCAATACCGATGCATGATTTTTAAACAATTTTATCTTATAGTTCATCTCATTGTTAATTGATTGAATTTCATTTGAACAGTACACAAAGTTGTGTGCATTGCTACAAAGCTAGTCAACCTGACACCAGTACCAAGTAAAATTAATACATAATGGATGGAAATAAAATTCATTTATCACAAATGTTTCTGAATACATATGACAATCTCAGTTAGTGACGATAACCAGTTATCATTCAATCTATGGCAACAGTTGACTCTTAAACTAGCTACCACTTGAAAAAAGTGTATGCTTTTTTATCGATTTTAGTTATTGCAGCAGGTGGCGAGGTTCCATGTTAACCGACGCATTTTATTTCGGCAGTAGCTAGTAATGAAGGCGATAATTGTGTTAGAATACAAATGTATACTGGTTGAAAAAAAAAAAAAAAACACTAGCGATCGCCAAACCCCTTTTGATAAATGTTGATAAATAGCGAGTCTGCAAGATGTAAGAATAAAACAAAGTCATAACAGTAAATTCCCACTTAATGTCGGATTACTGAGAAACTTAAAACTAACGCACCGACATTAAAAGGGTTAGAATTGGAGGGATTATGTCAAAGTGGTGGATTAGATTTTCAGTATTCTATTTGAAAAAATCTACAATCCTCACCTGAATAAATTAGTGAATATTCGTGCTAGTCACCGCTATGACACTAAGAAATAACCACTTTTTAATTTTTATCAATTTTTGTTTTTGACTCAATGAAAGGTAAGATAATATATACTAGAAGTTAATGCCGTTGAATGAATCCCCCGCGGTGCTTCTGTATTTAAGCTTTACTTAAGTATTCTATGGAAAGATTTTAACTAGAAACTTCTTGTGGATTCACATTGTAGGGCACTACTAATGATATATTTGTTCCATTACACGTTTGTCAGTCTCCATTCAAATGAAAATGTGTTTTATAGATACATAGGTTATTTATGACTATGTATTTTCGTAATAATAATCTTGTTAGCTTTCGACAACAGTTATTGTTGTTTTTAAAGAAATATTTTAAATTTTCAATAATAATTGTGTCGGTAAGTGAAGTGCTCAGTGCGGAGCAGTAATTTAAAAACGTTACAGACGCGGTTTCTAACATAAAACATGAACGTCAATTAGTGACGTTAGTACTGTATATCTTTTACACAATCAACTAACTTCAGTATAAGGATATGGCATAATATATAGGCCCAAGAAAAATTGCCAAATATACTCAAGCTATCAGGAGATGCATTAGTAGTGCCAAAGCTTGGCAATTAACAATAACAAAATACGCTCGAGAACTGAAGAATATCGCGTAGAATTGAGAAGTGCGTTATTTGCATACGGTGCACTGCCTGGATCGAATGAATGTTAAAGGTGAAACCACGAAAACAGAAAAGATGAACTCAAAAAACCGTATAGCTTGATTTTCATGAATGAAATTTAAAAAAATATTATGCATGTATTTGCTGAATTTGAACGAGTAGGGTGTGCTAATGTGATGGCAGTATCAGAAAGTCGATATATTCCAAATAAAAAAACGCAGAAAAATCTTGCCTCACTATATGAAAGCTAACATTCGCCTACCTTTTTGTATCGAGACGATTATGGTTTGAGAAGACTGCTTGAGGAAGACTGTGTTCCTTTGAGATCGATCCAGCATCCGGGACTTCTCTTTAGTATTTAACCAATCAGATTGCTTCTTTTTTTCCGCGGCATATCGGAAATGCTTGGCCACGCCTTTATCGCCTTCGATAAACGTACTAATGAAAAATCATATAACAAAAAAGGGTATAAAGAATTTATGGCTTCTCTCAATAGAAAATTCTAAAGTTTTCTTTTACATTCCATTCAGTGAGGTTTCAAAGATGATGCATCAGAGATGATGTTGCTTAGTATCGAACTACAGAGCCGAACATCAAGTGTGTTGGTATGCCTCTCAACCAATCATTGCTTGTTTATCGTTCGCGCCATCGCGGATCGTAACTTCTAGACGCGCAATCACGGCGATGAATCCAAGGATGTAAACAATTAAGAAGACAAAGAACAATATGTGGTCCATCTACTAGCAATGGTCTAATCCAAGATCAACTTAGATGCAAGAAAGCATTTCCTAGGAAGTACTGTCGAGTCACACGTTCCAGACGGCCTTTAAACTGATTAGCATTGTGAATTTTTATACAACTTAATTCTTCTGATTTCATTTAGATACGAAAATGGATTTGGAGTTTTTTTGGAAGATTTCATTGACTGGTAACGGATTCTGAAAAAAGAAATCTTGTGGCGTTCACAATTTCTTTCGAATCAGTTTTGGCAATAGGGATTATTCAATTTTATTTGATATATAACACAGAATGCGATCCCTACCGCTACAACCGACTATTGAAAATAATACAAAAGGGAAGAAACTAATAAAAGTATATCATTATTCAGGACAGTCAAGAATTGTCGTATCCAAAAGAAAGGTTGGTTGAATAATTCATGGTTTAACCACGTTGGTAATTCATTTCGATAAAAAGCTAAAGTTTATATGCGACGGACAATGAAAAGTTGAAAGTTTAAGAAATTTTCATTTTCAAGTGACCGGAGAGTCTGATTATAACTCGTATAATTAATTGAAAACCCGATCATATAATCACAAAATAATTTGAAAGAGAAAAAGTAAAAATCGAATGGATTTGACATCATGATGAGCCATCTGGAAATTGATATGATTCAAATGAAAATCAAAATCAAATACTATTTTTAAATGAAGATATACAAAGAAACCCTTTGTTTCAGGCTTATCTGCCATGGATAAGGTAATATTGGCAAATGCATATTTGAACAAAAAAGGAAGCAACTGAGTCGATATCATAGATAAAAAAGAAATAAAACACGAAAAAAAAAATGATAAAGAGAAAATAAATAGAATTGAAAATGACGTTAAAAATAGAATGGAACAAACTAGAGCATCAATGTTATCAGTTTTATTAGAAGCTACAGGGTGTCAATAAATACAGCTAAGAATAGTCGTTTGTAACAAAGGAAGCAAAGTTTGACATAGCAGGGGGGTAGAGGAGAGGAGGCAAGATTGACTAGGTGTCGCGCTCGGTAGTAGACTACCCTCCCCTCCCCTCACCTCACGGCTCTTGGCTGTGATTACTGGACTTGCCATCACATGTAAGAAGAGTTTATTTTAGCACCCTTTCCATTTATTCAAGGATTTTCTCCTTGTTTTCCAGTTTTCCTATCTCCGCAAAACCTTACGAACTAAATTTCGATTTGATCTGCGAGTTGGTCGTGCCTTGACTTTGATCAGCCCAGAGCCAGTTGTCTCAAGGTATTCGTGAAATTTGAAGGTTTAGGATTGAAGGACAGATTAAATCGTAGCACATTTTAAATATTATCAGATTTTTTAAAATTTAAGATTAATAAGATTAAGAATTATAGATTTGCATGTCAATAATTTTTTTCCAAGAATTTAAATATGATTTTTAGAATGTATTAATGTACAGGAATAACTGCTTACTTTATATTTTAAAATTATTAAAAGTATTAAGTTTTACATTCTTAGCATTTTAATCTCTTTCCTGACTTGTTTGTTTGGTTTAAAACTTATGTTGTAGATTGGTCATGCAGAAAAGGAGCTCTCTTTGCATCTCTGAGTACTTTTAGTTCTTTGAAAAAGGGTAACTTATCACTTGCACGGGGATATGTCATTGTTCGACCTGATGTTGATGGCATCACATATACTACCTGTAATAAAATAAATAGAAAATTTATCAAATGTCTTCAACATCAGAAATCATTTCAAATTTATTGCTACATATGGATGAATTTTACTCTCATAATGCTTTAACAGGTCCTTGACAAAAATGACTGGGAAAATGGGCAATTTCAAAATTTTAAAATTAAAACATGCAGGAAGAGTGCAAAGCATTCGGGTAGACATGGGATAATTGTTTTCCAGTTTCATTTACTGTACTTACTGCATCTGTTCCTGGTATATTATTAGGTTGCTTTCCTATTTGACACTTTGATCCAGAGAATATCTCATAAATGCCTAAAAAGTTCAATCACAAACCACATAATAAACTAGCGTAGCGAGGGGGCGCACTGGGGGCAGGGCCCCTAAAAAGTTTTGTTTGGGCACCAAAAAATAATTAATTAATATGGGATTCCTGTGGATTTGGTGGGAAAAGGGTGCATTGCCCCCCCTCCCCCCCCCATAATCGAGACCTTGTAATGCCCCTTTTATAATATAATCCCCAATCAAACATGCTATATATGATCACCAAAAATAGGGTTTGTATCCACTCCACACTAATGACACTGAGCCCGCCATGGCTTGAAACCCTAGTCACATTGGTGGGAGGTGGCATATTTGCAGCAAACATTTCCCTTGCTTCCCAGACACCTTTATTTACAGTCTTTTTGCTTAAAGATAAAAATCAGTACCTTTTCCATTAAAACAAGCTATAAGAGGCTTATACTTTTCAATCTTTGCAATTAGTTCATCAATACCATCCTTGATTYCTTTGCTATAGATAACAAAAAAGAAGAATCAAGAGCCAATGTCTGCTTTTAGCATAACATATATACCACCTTGATTTTTATGTAGAGGATTGCTTCAAGAATTCTTACAGTAATAACATGTTTATATCTAGCTAATAATGATAATGATTTATGATTGATACAGTGCTCAATTATGATAGATGGTTAATATGGTGAGGTATAGGCATAAGGGTGGTCACTGCCAGGATTATTTATGTACATTTGAAATTTTGTTTACTTCTGATCAACAAATCTTCAGATCTTTATCAATAGCCTGAAACAGCCTCTGGGCGGGTCTTTAGCATGTTAGGATTTACTGAGGGGAGAAAACAAGAGGACCAAGAGAAAAATACTTGCATCAAGGGAGAGACCTAACAAACACTCACATGTGATGAAAAGTACAGGAATTGAGCTTGGGAACCCAAAATTGAGAGGTGAGTGTACTTCCCGACTACGTCAACCTTGATTCTCTTAATTAACTCACCGGGATAGGTCAGAACTACCTCGTGTTGTTCTCATTACGATATTGGTTAAACCAATCCCATATGAAGGGCATTTCTCATCTTCCTTGTAAGTAAGTTTCTCTGGAACAAGTTTGGAATCAAACAAACATGGCCCTATGCATTGCAAATGATAATAACTGAGTTCACTAAATTCATTTGAAAGTGGAATATTATAGATAATAGATGAATCAATATGATCTACACCTTCTCTTGAGTGTGATATGAGACAGAAACTCCAAGGCATCTGGTGCAAGGAAGCAATGGATATACAGGTCATGTAATGGAATATATCTCTTAGTCCCTTCAGACCCCTCAAAAATTCTAATCCAACTCAGCAATCAGGTCTGTTTTTTAACTGCCATATATTAAAGGTGGGAAGAATGTTGTCAATGTCTGTGCTTACAGAAATGATTATTTGGTCCAGCGTAATGATGCCCTTTGTATGCAGATGTCAATCCTGGGTTGATTCCAATCTAAAGAGAAAAGATATTTGTGTGTAAAAAGTACAATACACCTTTTCACTATATGCAGGGGGGCGGATCAGGTTTGAAATTTATGGAGACTACTGTAGTGCACAAACATACATGCAAAAACCAGATCATCAATCACTTACAAACAGAACGTCCAGATTGTAATCAACTCTGTCTGGTAGGAGTAACTTCATGACATCTTCTTCTGTCAAGTCACCATACTTCTTACTTTTCGTCTTTCTATCAGTTTTACCAGCTTGGGCAGATGCAGTGTTTGCAGTGGTTGATTGAGTGGGTCTAGAATCGCTGAAAAAAAACATAGATCGATTTGTTTCGTATTTTTTTGCAATCTGACTTATCAAAACAAACGATAAACCACAATAAAACAAATCGAAGACGTACAAGTACGGACTATAGCGAGCACTTGGTTTTTTCCCGCTCATCGAAGTGCAGCTGTTTTTGTAAAGTCAAATTCAAGTCTGTTTTCATATTTTTTGGAGAGGTACTGGGGCCATATACACAGGGCTCCCATATACAATTTATTTAGAGCGTCTATTTTGCATATAAATCAAAATTATCATAGACGATTTTTTGTAAAACATATATATATAGCTACCTTCTTAAAGAATTCCATTCATTTAAAGCTTTAGATTTTAAATTATAGCAATATTAAACCTTGCCTTCATCACCCCACCCTCCCCTCCCATAACACTTTTTTTAAATAACGCGGTCTTTTTGATCAGCGGAGGAGCATAGAAGAAAAAATATGGCGGATTTGTTGTCGTCCACGTTATGACAGTGCAATCTTTTTATTTGAGTGCAGTTGCTTAGAAATTTTCCATATGGTATCAGCAAAGTGGCAAGCCGTTAAAAGAAGACTTGGAATTTACAGATTTTTGCCAGGTTTTTTTCTGCTCGGAGCTGGAATTGAGTTGTTCATGATCAAAGTTCGCGTTGGTAGAGAAACGTTTTGTAAGTAAAAGCTCAAGTTATATAGTCCTTTTAGATACATTGGGAATTAAAAATGAAATAAAATCCGCGTAATTTAATAAAACTTTATTTCCCGCACATACTAAAAAACATTAAAGTGTTGTATTACTTTATGACCTCCCCCTTTCCTCCCCCCCAGATAGTCCGCTTTGCAAAGTAGAGTACTTTCCTTTCCTATTCCCCCCCCCCCCCCCCCCCCGCATCGCTCCTTTTATAAATCCTCTCCTTTTCTCAAGTTTTGGTGGAAACACATGTTTCAATTGATAACGTTATCTTGTGACGTCATGAGTGAAATTGGCTTGGCCCCATATCTTAAATTGTTCCTCACAATAAGTACTTTACTGTGACAAAGTTTCATGCTTTTAAACCAAAATCCCACAATTTCTTGAAAATTCTCCATAAATCCTCCGGTCTAATAAAAAAGCCATTTTGTTCAGTCCTGTATATGATCCTCATTTCAATCAAGATGGTCAACTGAAAACTACAAAGCTAATATAATCAACTCCTTGATAACTATTGTCGAGTCTTAAAACGCCAGTCACATGGGCTTAGCACACTTCTGAGATAAAAAAACGAACACAGAAATCAGAATAACAAAACAAACAATTTCTGGATTCAAGGCTAAGCCTGYATACACTGGAGTTTTAAGAGCTGTCAATTGATGCACATCAAATCTTTTACCAGTTACTGTTTTTTGATATGAAATTTTCCCATAGTCCACAGCAATATTAGCTTTCTAGGTTTTCGATGCCTAACGTTTTTGTAATATAAATTAAGTATATGAAAAACCATAAAATCAAAGTATTGTGTAAATTTCTTGCAATAAAGTATGATATTTTGTGATGGCAGAATTTTGATTTTCTTCATTTGTTAACAGATGATACTGTGGTGAGGAAAGAATCTGAGAGAAGATTAGAGAGACTGGAAGAAGACAAAGAAAATTAACTGACCTGAAAAGAATTTTAGTTGGCTTTACTGTTATTCATACCTATTTTTACATTTATACATACTGTCTATTTTATATGTTATGCTGTAATCATGCCAGCTGGTGTTACATGGTCAAGATATCTAAAATTTCTTGGTGCAAGTTTACTTAGTATGTTTGCTGGTGCTTCTGTTGTGCACAACTATTATAAGCCTAGTCTGGTAGGTAATTTTATAATTCTTTTCCTCATTCTTATTCCTCTAACTCATGCAATCATATGCCATTTCCAAGAAAGTGAACATGGTGCATTATGCCCTTTGCTACTGAAATCTTTTAGATGGTAAAGCATATTTGTCAAATTCAAAAAAATACCTATGGCAAGTTCAAATGCATTATTTTCATGATAACATTGCTTAATGGGATGTCATGTGGTTGTAATGTGTGGTTCCAGAAAATTTCCACACCCACCATATAAACCTTGTATTTTTTTCTTTTTCTGACCCCCACGCTGTGGGAATTTCTGATTTCCTCCATGGTGGGGTATGAATATTTTGTGGAACCACATAAATATAGTAAAAGAAACATTCACCTACCACTGTGACATGTTTGCAAGTGGTGACAGGCTCAAACCTAAACTTAGGGCAATGCAAACTCTTTTGTTTTTGAAGAAGAGATTGCATTACCCTAAACTTGTACATGAATAACTCAGGTCATCTTGAAAACAGGGCATAATTTAAGTGGCTGCAAAAGAGATGAGGGGGAATGAATATTGTATAATATTCCTGATCGGTGTAGTCATGCAGGTCTAACATCATAGTATTGAAGAATTTATTCTAATAACAATCCCTTTTTATTTGGTGTGTAATGAACTGAACTCGTTGTTTTTTTCTTAGGCAATACCAGACATGCCTCCAGATCCTAAAAAGCAAGACACACAGCAGAGAACTGGAATACAAAAAATAATCTCAATCAAAAAGGACTAGTATCCTAAGCCCAAGGACTAGTATACTACGGGCATTGACTGACCATTATATCATTTACCTTGCCTCTTGCATCTCTGGAATGTAATTTGTTACATTTTGTCAATGTATAATGTCTTGAATGGCTGCATGTTGAAATTCAATTCAATTTGGAGGACATAACAATAGGTTTCCAATTCTCATAAGATTGAAATTTCTGTTGAAGATTGAAATTCTTTTGTTTTGTCCTCCAAATTAAGCTGCCTTGACGTCACATGCAAGGGGTCTATATGTACAAACAATGGAGTATACTACTGGAAGAGGTTCTTTATGAAATTTAATATACAAGAATTAATTTTGGCTTTTTTCATAAAAAAAAGAAGAAATATTTTATATTTATACCTGCCCAGTCATTAGCGAATACTTATGAGAACAAGGAGTGCCAGAAGCCCAAATATTTATTTTATTTGAAAGTCGAATAGAGTTTAGGGTGTGGCCATTGATGTTTGCTTGACATAATGACTCACTTCATCAGAGGTGTAACCAGAGGATAGTTTTAGGTAAGGGGTTAAGAGACCCCTATTTGACCTCCATAAACTCCTCATTAACCTCACTTGCTTACTCTATACAGAGAAATATCAGACTATTCATAGTCACTTTGAATATGTAAATTATGTCCCAGAGGAATYGTTAATATGTATTCTCAYGGACTTTATACTAATACAAAAGGGAAARGAYGCCATGAATTAATCACTCTCATTAAACCACCGACGAAGAAATGTACGTTTTTTGTCCCACCCACCCGCCCACGAGCAAGCTGGGTTGATCCACATTCTGTCCCATTTATCGCTCTCTGGCCAGGATTTGTTCCAGGCCAGAGCTGCCTTTGCATACCTTAATATTAACAATAGATGGGGCAGAATATTACACTATGGTCTTTTCTGCATTGACCTAGCCTATGGCTTGGTCCATACATTTATGACCTCAGTCTGATATTTCTTTGTACAGACCTTGTGCTCAGCTAAATAAGTAGTTATTAACTTTAATTATCAGTGTTCACACTGGCCCAAACATTAAGTTGCATTCCTTTGACTTATACCAATGCATACACCACATGCATTGCAAATCGCTATTTCTAATACTTGCAGCAGACTTGAGCTTGTCTTGGTTATAATGGGTATCTTTTTGAATTGATAGATACGAGGTTTGGTACGAAATATCGATATTTCAATTAATCTCTGATACATTCACGTGATTTGTCACGTGACCTACTAACGGTATCCAGCTTGCAAATTTCTTGAAAATTGTTAAAGTTAAAAATCGTGACATTGTTACAAATCTATTAAGATGTTACTGTTTTTTCTCGATCGCCTCGAGCCAGCTGTACTTACAGCCTCGTCTGTGTCTGCTGTTGCTAATGCTCGACTCTCACAACCTTGTCCTGCAATCTTTATCAGATCAACTATTGTCATTAACACGTTTTTGAATGCAAAAACTGTCAGCTCAACTTTATATTCGTGCCAGAGGAACACCCTTAATGCGAAAAAGGGAAAATTCACAAGCAGAATTTGTAAGAGCAGTCTCGTTATTTCCAGTGGCATGCTCGCTCTTGTACTGATAACATCGTCTTCGTTATCAGTCTCGCCGCGTTGAAAAGCTACTAGAGAAATGGTCGTTATCAACAGACTTATCAAAGCAAAAGATACTACCCCTCTTTTAAAAGAACCTGGAATAGAAGCACTGTTATTTGTAAGAAGAATTCCCACGAAATCTGCGGAGTCCACAATATCGAATGCCTTCACCCAATTTATATCCAGAAAAAGCTTTGGACAATAAGTATGTGTGTCTAGTAACAAGTAAACCATAGCTGCCATCGCAATAATGTTTTTTAAAAAGCCCTGATCCATTGCGGAATTTTTGTCGATTTTCTGTAGAAGTTGATCAAAAATCCATCCAATGATACCGGCGAGAGGGAGAATGTACAGGAACCACACAGCCGCAGCTACTGTACGGCCTTTATTACTGATCTGCCCTCGAATCCACAGGATAACTGCTGGTATATAAGTCACTATATAAGCATGCGCTGATGATTTCTTCAAATAAACGACCAAATAACTATCCAAGAGTATTGCTTGAGTGGACAGGACTACAATAAACGCTACTCTTGCCAGCCATTTACAAGTGCAGTCGACAGTAACTATCATTTCTTCAGGTTAAGATGAGTTGATGTTGTAGACGGCTTCACCTGTGATAATAGCTCTTTTTACCAACAGCTCCAAAATGCGTTTTGTTTTTCAGACACAATTCCCTTCCCAGGTGGTCTTGCTAATTGTATCCAACGCTATTCTTTGTCATTTCAGTTCGATAAAAAGAATTTTTTCCTTCAAATTGAGTCTAACCTTAATCTGTTGAATTAAAAAAAATCAGCCCCGGAATGATACATATTCCCATCAATGAGCGCGCACGACAACTACAGACACACGATTCACAAAATAAGTAATTTCAATGTTAAAAACAAGTAAATTTTTCCCGACACCTTTCTAAATCACAGCGGGAAACCTTAAAACAGAGCACAGTAATAATTACTAACTTAATGTGAATAGAAAATATGTGATTTTTGAATAAATATTTAAAAGTAACGAGGTTATCATAAAAATTAGCCTAGAGCGCTTTAGCACCCATTAAAGAGGGATCAAGATTTTCCTGATTCTCAGCTTATACTGAAATTTATCTTCGATATCTTGGCGTGTGAAGACAGAAAGTCTCTGGAAAAACGCAATGAGACACTTTTTGGAACCAGGAGACTTCGTACGTGAACTAAAAATACATGTGCTGGGAAACAGAAAATACAAGTTAAAGACAGGCTTTCTTTTGCGACAAGCCATTCTGGCTAGTAAAGGTAACAATATATTTCAAATATAAGACTTTAATCTGAAAAGGATCGCCGCAGACTTAGACTTTAAAGCCACTTTATAAGTCGGTAAAACCAATTAAAATGACTGTTTTGTGGTATTTATTTTTTGTGACAGAATCTGACTTGTTTTCAGTTCAAGGTTAATTAAAGTCTTGGAGTTCAAGAGACAGATCTAGATAAACTGACTTTTACCTCTTCTGGCCTCGCCACTTGATCCACGGCGGCTGAATAAACATGGAATGTTGTGCCAAGAGCTTGTTTGAGAAAACACTCAGTTTTTTAAATTTTTACTGGCATTCCCACATGAGGCAAAAACTAGAAAAGGAACTCATGTTTATTCCACATGTTGACCAAGCCAATATTTAAAAAAAAAAAAAAATTGAATACACCAGGAGTTGACTGAATGGTATGGACGTTTGGCAGGCCGCGAGAACCGCAAGTTACCGATTAGCGCCCTGTATACTGTCCCAGATTTGCGTGCGCAATAGCACTAGCGGTTTTATGTTGTGCGGTTAAGCCAGTTAAGCACGTATTGGACCGAAGGGGAGAAGGACCATAGAAAGTAGCCAGTTCAGGGGAGGAGGGTCGATGAGGAGACCTAGGAGTTATCGATCGAGGCTCCTGGCTCATTCCCTTTCTTCATTTTTTGGTTAAATGTTGTAGTCCCATTATACTTTTCTTTTTAACTTGTACGGCGTGAAAAATAATTAACGTTCGGAACGGGAAGACTTGTTGTCAGGCGGATCAAGGGGGAGGGTTGTGGGGGAGGGGGTGGGGGTTGGGGTTGCAGCTCCCCATGACAATTGGACTCCTTAAACAGAATGCAGTGTTGTTATAAGTTTTTGGTTACGCATCTTTTACAATGTGGTTTCCCTCTCAACGCAGAACCCTCTCTTTAAGATAATCCTCATACATCCGCCCCTGCTGTTCAGCTTAGCATGTGACTAATCTTAATCCAGCACAGTTCGAGCTGTTACGCCTTTGTTGTGTGCTTTTAAAAGTTATGGAAGATGCGGAGATCAAGACTATGTAGTCGTTTCAGTTTTGAGGGGTTACGCAGATCTTAAAGAAAGTGATGAATGAAGTTTCTTTTTAGGGGAGGGAATACAAACTATTTGTTTACGGAGTGGATTATAAGTATTTTAGACATTATGTATTAGGTTGGCCTGTAAAAATGTTGATTTTCGAGTTCATGATGGCTTCTTAATCTCAAACCCTCCCCCATCTGTACCAAAATCCGGTGATCAAGTATATGCCTTTGAAAACAAAGTACTAAGTAATTAACTATTGAAGAAATAGAAGAGAAGTGTTAGGAGGAACATGACGCGTAGCAGAGTGCTTCTCGAAACTTCTCTCGTGTTCTGCCAATCCCCGCGTGCTTTATAACTCCACACAGCACAGCAAGCAAGTGTTTTTATTTCTTTTATAAAATACAAAGCGCGCGTGCGTGATGTGTGTTCTCATAAAGCACGCGCTCCTAACCAATCAGAATGCCGCAAAATTTATAACAGTTATTTTAATTATAATCATAAGACATGACCAAATGAAGGTGGCTTGTTTTAGTCAACATGGACTTTGGATAACTATTTGATATTTGACAGGTACTTGACTTGCACACTGTTGCATGATCATGATCCTAACCAATCAATTTGTGAACAATGAATAGTGTGATTTCAGTCTCTCTCAGCTTTCCCCCCGCAGTATGTGATTGTTTTAGTTTCGTCTGTCCCGGCTGTCCTTTTGTCTGGAATATTTGTCGCAAGATACGTCCGTTTGAAGAGTCTAAAATTAGCATTTACTAAATAAGAAAAAAAATCTTAGGGTAGTTTTACTCGGCAACATGAAAAAATAGTAGTACGTAGTAGTAGAAACTATTTCCATTGTACTTCAACTGTTAGCCAGTAATATTGTACAAAACTATATTTCCGCCGTGCGCGCACTTGAGCCAGGTCACTCCAACTGAGCTTAAAAACTGAGGAATAGTTAGTTGGTTTCTTACCATTCCTAGAAACATTGCTCTCTGCTGGGAAAACTCGGTTGGTATATCTTCAAAATGAAGCCTTTGACGCATTTGGGAATTTCCAGGAAGGAACATATGCATGGCTGGTAACACCTAATGCGCAACGAACTTAATCCGCCTGGTCGGACACACGCCCACTTTTGAACGTAACTCAGTACTTTTCAATGACTTTTCATATGATGCGCAAAGAGAAATCTATATTCAAATGAATTACAATTTAGTTTTTTATGCCGATTCTCTTAACTCCGGGATCCTTGAAATACGTTTTAAGTCGCTATGTCTGGGTTTTTAACTTTTTCCAATGGTCTGAGTTGGTAATGCTTTTATTGACGGAGGCCAAGATCCTAAAGCTAGTTCTGGGCCGTTTCTGGTCGCGTAATTATAATAGCAGGTGTAAGCGAATGGAAGAGTTGCACGCACGATCTATCGTACGTAGTCAAATAATGTTTAACGTTAATCCACAGAGTCCTCAAACGGATAATCTAATTAATCGCCGTCACGCGTCAGGATTCGAATCAACCGAGACAGCTGAGAGGCTGATGCATCAGTACTAAGTATACCCGCTTGTAGCACAGTGTACAAACCCAATTTACAATGTATCAATCGGATTCCATTAATTTAAGGGCATGTTTTAAGAATAATGCGAGATTTGCTCACCAGTCAGTTGGAAAGGCCTATTACTGTTGAAAAACATGACAAGAAATCACTCTTCGCCATTTTATTTAGACATTAAGACATTATAATAACGAATAAATTAATGAAACTGCGATTTGTACGTCCTTTAATTCATATTTAATAATATAATAACGAAAAAAGCCACACAAAAAAACTATAAAGGCTTTCTTTCATTTTCGCCACTTCCTGTCATTATTTCAGTGATTCCGTGTAACCATGGCGACGTATATCGTTTGAGTCTGAGTTTCTCTGGACAAAAAAATTTTAAGAGAAAAAAATTGATTTCTATATATTGCTTATCCTCGTTTATTTTGATTACGAACGTAATGAGGAATGAAAAATRTAGGTTTTTCTCTAACGGGAAAAGAAAACATGATGCCTCATGCTGAAATAACTCGGCCAGAGGATGAACCGGACATGACCTCAGTGGTCGAGCACATGTGGATTTCTTTCAAATGAGTGGCCATCACCTGTGGTTCTGTTTACACAATGGGCATTGAGAAAATTGAAAATACCGTCAGTCAGTTATTTAACTCTTTAGACAAACCCACAACAAAATAACCCATGTTTTGTCGTTCTATTGAATCAAGCGATGGTCTGTAACTTTGATTAAAAATATCAAGGAAGCAAAAACGATCCCATAAAGTTAGTCGCACTAAATTAGTTGCACTAAAGGATCATAATTTTGTAGTGAATAACAGGGATCCAAAGGCTATCGATCGATTGACTTTTTGGCATGGCTGAGCACAGTCGTCATGAGGTCACACAACGCACCCACCACACCATGCGCGTGTCGCACCCCACAGCACTCGATGAAAGAATCAATAACATTGTCAATAATATAAAATTTAAATAGGAAATCCTTCATATAAACAACGCTGAAAATACAAATTAGCATATGCTGTGAAAACAGGTTAGGTTTTTTAGAAAATGACTAATGAATTGTTTTTAACGTTTGAGTAAAGCGTATCTATTTACGTACGATTACTGATTTTCGTGATCAAAACTTGTCATAATATAATAAAATCATGTGTGAAATTAACAAGGGGATCGCGTTAATTTAATAGCTTTGTAATTGATGGAAAACCTTTAAAGTGCTACTGATGGAAGCCATATTACCTTTAACAAACACGGAAAAGTCGCATTTAATAAAGTCCGTCAATCCATCTGCGAAAATCCAGAACCTAAATCGATTTATTTGTTGACATTACTTTCGTCTGTTGTCTCGGTTTTAAGGTGATGTTGGATGAGAAACTCAAATACCTCGTAATGCTTAGATCGTGTGACACATTTGTGTGCACAGTCTAGTTCTTTAGCTGTCTTTCTAACTGGACCGTAATTCTCTCCTCTCAGTGAGATGGCTGATCTCAGTTTATCCAAATACTAGGGAAAAAACCGTCAACACCCTCATAGATAAAATTCCGAGCAAATTTTTTTGAAGATTGAGATCCTCTGCGCTTAAAAGCGGAGAAGAACCATTGATGTCAGACAAACGAAGTCTGGGCAAATCGATTCGAACCACTTAAGCCCAAGGACAAAAGCGTTGCATTTCATTTCCATTAATTTTATGCTCTGTTTACAAATACAAATGCCTCTGAAGAATGCATTCTTCAGAATGAGAAGCTTGGAAGACTGAAGCGTCCGATTACAGAATAGGCCGACTTCGTGTCACGTGGGGTTTTTTCAGCCAATCAGAGGTCTTGTTTGCACAAACTTGTCATTGAATTGAGAGCCCGTTTGCCGACAGGAGATCGTGAACAAACCAACAAGAACGAACAAAGTGAGTCCTTTCTTCACTCCAAAAAAGCACCAAAGAAACCTCAGAAATTAGATTTATTGAATGCCGCTTGGTAGCTACGATGATGGTATAACTACCTGTGCTCAAAAATGGTTACCCGTCGTTCGTTGATACAAATTCGAGTGTTCTTTTGGTGGCAACATTGATCTTAACAAGTAACATCGCTTCACGAGGATTCTTACTCTCTAAACATGACTATTTTGTTAAGGACTTTAATTTATATCTCTTTATCTATCGTCGAGTGCAGAGTCTTACATATTTATGGATCAACGAACTCACAAGAGGTAATAGCAAACTTTTCGAACTCCAAACTTACTAATTATTCACTAACAATACCGCAAAGTTCCAAAGCTAATTTAAAATTTTTAACTTTGGATTCTCGGACTGGTATACTTCGAGCTGCTTGGAAACCGGACTGTTCGACGATAAAATACAGTCCTATAGAATGCTTTATACAAGCTGTTTATAAGAGTAACAACTCTCTAATAACTTTGGAATCGGTTTTAATCTATGTGGATGCTGGAGACTGCTTTGTTAAGTTTAGTACGAGAAAGTTCGAAGGTTACGCAGTCGTTTCGCGCGGAGCAAAAATTGGGACGAAAATATTCCCATTGACGGCTTTATACCGCTCATCTTCGTCTTTGGATCCTCGATTTATTCGACTTATTGATCAAAGATCAAGAAACCATTTCAGTGTTGATGCGACTACGGGTCATCTACTTCTACGTGAATCTTTGATTGGAAGACAAGAACGAGTATTCAACATCATAGTTGCGTTTCCGGCATCAGGACGACGAATTTTTGATCAAAAAGGCCAACCAACCCTCATAGCAAATCTTCAAGTTTTTGTCGATGGAGAGAGGAGTTTTGATCAAAAGTTGAGAAGAACCAAGCGAAGGATCAGGAATAATCCGCCACAGTTTACTAGCTCTTATTTACAAGCTAACGTACGCGAAGACTGCCCTAAAGGCACTACCGTTACTACGATCACTGCTTCGGACCCTGATAGTGGGAGTAATGGAATGGTTCGTTATTCCATGGCTGCTTCTCAGAATCTCCTAAGTCAGTCCTACTTTAGTCTTAATGCAGATACTGGAGTTATCACGACTACACAGACTATTGACCGAGAGAAAATGGGAAGGCATTATTTTCGAGTTACGGCTAAAGATCAAGGTACACCTCCTCTTGAATCTTCCACCGATCTTACCATCGTGGTGGATGACATTAACGACAACGCACCTGTCTTTGAGAAGAGTTTTTATGCTGCAAGCATACCAGAAGACAAGGTGATGGGAGATTTCGTTCTGAATGTGAGAGCGAGGGATGAAGATGAAGGTATGAATGGTGAAGTCAGATACAGTATTCTAAACAAAAAGAGTATAGATTATGCATTTGATGTAAATGACCGGACAGGTGTCATTACTGTGGAGAAAGATCTCGACCGAGAGAAAACACCAACATATGATCTTGTAATCAAGGCAGAAGATCAAGGTACTCCACCAAAGAATGCAACTGTTAATGTTAAAATTACCCTAACTGACATAAATGACTGTTACCCACAGTTTTCCAAACAAACATACAGAGCAACGGTCAGAGAAGATGTCCGTCCTGGCACTCTTATAACTACTATAGTTGCGACAGACTGTGATCAGGGTACCAATGGAGAGGTGGTCTATGAAATTGTTAGTGGCAATGACATGAATCTATTTTCCATTAACAAAATTAATGGACAGTTAAGAGTTAAAGCAAAGCTCGACTATGAACGGGTATCTGTCTTTTATTTGTGGGTGAGTGCTCAGGATAAGGGTCGACCATTTCTGGACAACCAAACTGAGGTAGAAATCATCCTCCAGGATGTCAATGATAATGCACCTGAATTCATCTCTGATAATTTCAAGGTATCTGTCTTAGAAAATGTCAAGGTAGGACAGGTATTCTCTCGGGTGCAGGCAATTGACAGAGATGATGGCAGTAACAAAGACATTGTGTACAGTTTAATACGAACTGATGTCCCATTTGCAATCAATCCAGTAAATGGAGATGTTTCAACTACCAGCCCTTTGGATAGAGAGACTAATGCACAATACCAATTTGGTATAAAAGCAACTGACAAAGGTAAACCATCAAAAGAAGGAACTTCACAAATGACTGTTACTGTCCTTGATATTAATGACAATCCACCAAAGTTTAGCAAATCAGAATATCAGGCATCCATTTCTGAGAAGGCAACATTTGGATCATCAGTGTTGCAAGTTACAGCAAAGGATCCAGATGCAGGGCAAACTGATGTGACATACTCTGTTGATCGATTTGCTCACCAAAGGTGCTTCCGTATGAACTCCTTGGGTGTGATATCACTTGGCTGCAAGTTGGACTACAAAAAGACCAAGTTCTATGTATTCACTGTGCGAGCAAGTGATGGCATGCTTGACAGTACTGCTATTGTATATATTAATGTCACTGATGCCAACACTCATGCTCCTGTCTTCAAGAGGCGGTCATACAGGGGAAGAATCAAAGAGAATGCTAAAATTGGAACCTCTGTCCTAAAAGTTGTTGCAACAGATGATGACACAGGAACTAATGCTCAAATATCTTACTCCATTGAAAGACCTGTGGCAGCTTTTGCAGTTGATCCTACCACTGGTGTTATCAAAACAACAGTGTCCCTAGACAGAGAGACAAAAGAGTCATACCAGTTTGAAGTAACCGCAACAGACCATGGAAGCCCCCCCTTGAAAAAGAAAGCATATGTTTCTATTCGGGTGTTAGATGTCAACGATAATGCTCCTAGGTTCTTAAAGAAGAAATATACTGCCACTATTAAAGAAGACATCAAGCCAGGAGAGAGAGTAACCCAAGTGAGTGCAGTTGACATAGACTCAGGGCTTAACAAGATGATCCAGTATTCTTTTGAAGTCAATGGTAAGTGTATTAGCTGGTTTAAGTAATGCAAAAAATTGATTGTAATTATAGAGAGGTCACTGGAACTTTAAACCCTCTTAAATTTTTTAAAAAATCCATAATTTAAATCTTTCCTTCAGCCTATCAATTGAAAATAAGATTTACTGGCACACTCATTGGTCACAATTTATGTTTTACACTGTTATATTCACCTACAGGTGTATATAACAGTGAAGGCATTTTTTTTGAAAAATAGTAGTAGTATATGTATGTCACAATTAGTTATAGTCAATTACAAATCTTGCTTTAACTATGTTAGGAGTAGTAACTAATAGTAATAGTAATAGTATGTTCCTTGCAATATTGATATCATAGAAAAAGGGTTGACAGTAGTAAAGTAGTAAGTAAGTAAGGAATCTACAGCTTGTATTTTGTTGGCTATAAAATTGAAGTGTCATGTTATTTAATCTGTTATGACAAGTGTTAAATGTCTTTGACATTTCAAGTCCCTCAAAAAGCTTGTTATTGTTGCTAATATTCTCAAGAGGCTGGGTCAATGGTCATCATGTTGAAACTATATATTTACATACTTATTTCCATGCTTATTATTCAACGCAAACCTAATCCAAATATTCCAATGTTTATTAAATAATAGATATTTGTTAATTTTCGGTTTATTATAGTACATATATATTTTTACACAGAGTTATTAGAATATTGGTTATGAAAGTATTTCAAAATTATTCAGTGCAATCAATATCTTACACTCTTATATTTCCTTGTTTTTGTTTTCTATCTTTCTTGATAAAAAAGTACTATATATTTACATACATATTCTCCCAAAGAAAATTAATTATAAAAGTGCAAATAAATACAAAATCAAGTCAAAGCTTTTCATCTCAATAGACGAAAAAAGAAGGAAAAAAATGTTTTGGATTTTTTTTGAATTTGATTAACTCTTTATCTGGTCTTTGGCAACATGCATTTCTAATCATTCTTGACTTGGAGGATCAAATGTCAACCATATCTTTTGATCCTTTTACATATTGGTTTAGTTGTCGTTATAGTCTCCTATTGATCTGAGATGACATTGTGAACCAACGTTTTTGTTGCCTAGTGACAGAGCTAAGCTGTATCATAGTTACTCCATTTTTTCATGCCTAACTTTATCTTTAAATCGGGTTTCTTTTAAATATGCTGAAAGGAAATAGATTTAAATGAGTATTTGAATAATGTCTAACATCTCCTTCATCAAGTTGAATCAGACTTTGAGTAATGGTCAAAAGATAGGCTTTAAAAATGTGTAACATTTCCTTCATCCATCTTGTTCTTTAATGGCATTTGACAGTATTATCTAGGATAATAATTTTGCCATTAAATTATTTAGTGGAAACTCTAGAGTCGTAAAAAGGGAGAAAAATAGTTTTTTTTAGAAATGCTAGTTGTTTAGAAACAAAAATTTTGATATTTTTGTATGATTCTTGACTTCCGCTGGGTGTATCAATGTCTCTTTTTTTTCGGATTTTACGTTTCTTTTTTTAAAGGGGAGGGGGTGGCAAGCTAGCCACCCTCACCCCCCTCCCCCCCTCCCATAGACCGTTCTTCTACTGTTAGGACAAGCTCGAAACAGTAAAAGAACGTCAAGGGATATAACAAAGAGGAGTGACGTAAACCAAAATATTTTTACATGCCTCCTAGACCACGATTGTTTAGGAACAGCAGGGTGTACCATAGTTTATGAAAATATCTTGCTGAACTCAGTAACACCTTGAAGGCATTGTTTATAAACAATGATATATAATAATATAATAATATAATAACATAATACAATAAACAGGCGAAACCCTTGAAAGGCTTCCCTCCCCATTCATAATTGATGCAGTCAAAGGCGGAACCACGAAGTGCGGGATTGTTTTAATGATTATCGTTTCTACTATTTTGTACTTTATGACGAATTCGACTTCAAGTTAGATTATAATCTGACCTCCTACGCATACGCATAGCCCTTGCCAATAGTTTTGTCACGCTGGTCCCTGTGCCTTGTATTTACGCTAGTGTCACTTATAGTATGATATGGTGTGTCAGAACTAGGGTCAACCATCCGTAGCCTATGGTCTTATATCAGTACATGCGCCGGCACAAACGGGATTATTGATACCACTTGAACTACCTGCATGCTAACAGTAGGTGTCATGTGTTACCGTTGGCGTACAGCAATTAATTTCTTTATTATAARCGGTTACAAATTACAAAACTGATTAAAATCTTAATTGAGTATTTAAAAAGTGCTGGTCAAATCGATATATCTAATTAATTATGACTATTAGAGATTTTTTTTCCTGGTTCATGAACAATTGGTATTTTTTTAGGTGATGGAGATGGTGCATTCGAGATGGACGAAAGTCAAGGCGTCATCAGAACACGCAAACCTCTTGATCGAGAGACTAAAGCAGTTTATCAGCTTACCGTGCTGGCTACAGACAAAGGAACGCCTCCTAGACAAACATCAGCCACAGTCGAGGTTACCCTCGAAGACGTCAGAGACAGCCCTCCGAAGTTCGAAAAGCCGAGGTACGAAGTCCGAATCAACGAAAACATCGCACCAGGGACGTCTATTCTACAAGTCAAAGCCAAGCCCCGGGACTTGATTCCAGATACACTTATAATCTATAGCATAGATCGGAACTCGCCCAGGGGCTTTAAGATTGATCCCAGACAGGGAACGATCACTACAGCTATGGAACTCGATTACGAGACTCAGTCCGTCTACAGACTCATAGTTCTCGCTTCGTTGCGGCCTTTATTCGAGCCCGTTGAAGTCATCATTACGCTTACTGATATCAACGACAACCGACCCGTCTTAGAAAACTTTTTTATGAGCATCAACGTCAAACAAGACGTCGTACCTCCAGAGGCCAAGTATAGGATCCCAGCATACGATCCCGATGTCTCCGATAAACTGGAATTTGATTTAACGTATGGAAACGAACGGCAATGGGTTCGTCTAAATCGAACTACGGGAGAACTCTCTGTGAGTCCAACCCTTGTTAACGCCATGAAACCTGCAGAGATTGGAATCCAAGTTTTCGATGGCGCTAACTATGCAAATGCAAAGGGGTCCATAATGGTGACGTCCATCACAACCGAAATGCTATCACAGAGCCTACAAGTTAATATTGATGATATGACTGTACAAGAGTTCTTGAACATGGCATACGATAGGTTAATCAAGAGTATATCGAAATTATTAAAGTGTAGCATGGACCAAGTGTTGCTGTTTGACATTAAATCAATCATCATTAAATCGACCACAATCACCCAGGATGATAAAACACAGCTTACGATCTGGATGCTTGTGCGCAAGAAAGATTCCAGTGGATTGTATAATGGGTTTTTCGACTCTCATTATGTGCGCAACATCATTTATTTGCACCGCAATGTGATATCCAAGGAGGTCAACATCATCCTGATGCCTTTTCCGGACGATCTATGTGGACAGAAACTTTGCAATTCTTTACCAGACATGCACAGGGATTGTCTTACTTATAGGAAGTTTATTGGCGATTCCACCATCCTGAGCTCCCCAAAAGTGGTCTTCCGTACCGTGCCTGTAGAGACCACCTTCAACTGCACGTGTCCGGTTGATTATCGCGGCGGGAAGCTATGTGACACACATCTCAATCTCTGCTACTCGAACCCATGTGGGAACAACGGGGAGTGCATCAGCGTGGAGAAAGGCTATGCGTGCCTGTGTAAACCAAACAGAAGCGGTAAAAATTGTGAAGTCAACATGACTAGTGCCTCGTGCCCTCCCAAAGGAAACGTTAAACCCAAGAAAGGACAGCTCGGCAAAAACCCGTGTAAGAATTCTGGACATTGTCTTGATGATGGCGCTGGAGGGTTTAAGTGTGGCTGTAAAGACAAACCTACCGTTAGTACTCCATTTTGTGAACTCAAGACCAGGAGTTTCAAGGATGGTGATTACCTGGCCTTTCCAGGTAATGAACTGGACGAATAGTTGTTATTGTTATGGGGAAGCGGGATGATATATGTACACTTCTCCACAGTTCGAAGGCTTAATCCTCGGACCAGCCATAATAGGCATTTTCTGAGTTCGATAAACATGGTGCATTGTTGTCTAGCTTGGGTAAGAGCAATACCATATAAGGTATGGCGAACGAAGGGTGTTTGTACCGAAGCTAGACCACAATGCACCATGTTCTTTACCTCAGAAATGGTACATGTGTGAAAAGAGTCGCTCTTTGGTTCTCTCCTGTGTTTCGATGATTTTTGTTTGAGGTCTCTGGTTTTACTTCCTTTCAGTGATCTACAGAAGATCTTTTAACTCTGATTAGATTTCGTTAACCGTTAATTTGTTTGACTTTAGCACTCACGCAGAAGTGGAGAGTACACATCAAGCTTCAGTTTGCAACATTACAGTCCGACGCGGTGCTGTTATACAATGGTCGTTATAACAACGAGAATGACTTTATTGCCTTAGAGATAACTAATGGCCAGGTTCGATTCACCGTTAATACTGGAAAAGATGCGGCGAGTGCGGTTACTAACGTGGAAGGTGGTGTTAATGATGGTACTTGGCACACGGTGACAGCTGTCTTCAAGAATCAGGTAAGATTGTCAATCATTTGCACGTTACGTCATCGCGGCCATGTTATTTAACAAAAGACGTCTTATTAGCTTCGATCCACCAACATGGCCGCCATGACTTTGTCACCAGACTCTCTTGGGAGTGCTTACGAATAAGAAAAAATTTAGATGATCAAAGGTGACTGTGTCAACAAACGGCGAATTTCGTTCGTTTATTTTTGTTGGATTATACGTCAGTCGCTGTCAGTCGGCGTGTCTGATCACCAATCTAGATTCATTCTGTCAATTAACGTGCGCAACTTGTTGTTTATATATTTATCTTGTATAAAGCGGCCATATTGATCAGAGATTGAGATGTCTTAATCATTTGCTCTTGATGACGCTTATTGCTCGACTAGACACAACCATCTTGAACCTGGCTGTTTTGATATCTTTATATCTGCGGATATCGTAGGTTTTTTAGATTCCTTGAATATCTCAGGGATTTCCTCATATCAGTCATGTCTTCTTTCAAAACAGTCTTTTTAAATACGTATTATTGGGGTTTGAGGGGATAGGGGGGAGAGGGTGGGTACTGCTACTCTGTACAGCAGCTGGGTCTTAAGGCAGGCAGCATCTATTTTTTCGTTCCCCTTTTGCGTCTCGATACCTATACTGCGGACTTGTTTTCGTATGGGCTTTTTTCCCCGGATGGAACGATAGATTTTTTCCATTTGTAGCTCTCTCGAATTCAAAATAAAAACGGGATAAAAACAAGGAATTGCACAAGCCTCAGTATGCCAGAATGATGAGTGAGTGGTTTTACAAGAACGCCATGATGTCTCAGTTGAACATTATCTACCATGAGTAAACTTGATTTTAGATCAACTTCTTTCGCCGCTTTTAGTGTATTCATGGCGCAAAAGATCAATATGGTATTTACGCAAATCTTCGATTCGCGAAGCTACAGATATCATGGTATTCGGGGAATGAGCGATACAAGGGCCGCTGGCTTTGTTCTTCATAGATCTTGTTAGATATAGTGAACATTGCTCTCAAAACTCTCTCAAAACACATCTTTACTGATAACCTTCATCAATAGCTCGATATACCTACTTGGGAGAGTTATTCATAGGATTTTACTTTCGATAAAAATTCTTTATTTTAAGCAGGTATATTTATTCCAGAACTTTCGGATTCTACGTTATTGGCTTCCTATTTATTCTGCTCCGCTTTCTTTTGKTGGTTTAATTGACCAGCTATATGATTTCTAGGCACACTAAATGCACATATAGGACTGACAATTCTCCGGGCTATCAGTAAATCCACGATAGTTGCATGATAGGGTCAAACGCTAATGGCGTATTAAATATCTAACATTCGCGCTACCGAGATACGTTCTGACCCTAGCGTGTCAACTCTAAAGTGAGATATTTATGGGACACCGAGAAATTGCGGAAACGCTTCTGACTATATTGGACAACTTTCCATTTTAATATTTCACTGACACTCTTCACATGTGGCTTCGATTAGCTTTGTTTACTTTTCTCATTAAGGAATTTATGTGTTTTTTGTTTTATTTTTTTAATTAACGAGATAAGTTTAGAAACCCTTTCATCATGCCACAAGATAAGCGTATTTTATCAGAACATAGTTTATTTGTTTTTTCACCCTCGCACTCAAAAATCCCGAACATGTTCTATCGTATAAGATGGAAATTTCTAGAAACATAAATAAGTTGACAAAAAGGCAAACAAATTGCTGCTAACAAAATAGACACTAGAGGTCAGTTGAATTTGCTGTCTGTAATTTGTGGTTTTAGGAAGTTTATTTGTCATTTGATTTGTCTGAATAGGTTCTTCGTTTATCAAGTTCATTTTTCTCCTGAGCAGTTTGAAAGATGATAATAGCAACAGCGATAGACTTAGTGGAGCGAATATGTTATGACAACTAGTCAACCCCCGCAGTAACGATTGCAAAAATGCGATAAGAAAATCGAGTTAGTAACGAAAACAGCGAATAAATAATTCCAGCTTTTCAAATAAAATCGTTGCCGAAAACTTTAAAGACACTGGGCTAAATGTCTTCAGTCATAATGTTTTGATTAAGTTTTACACAGCAAATAAATTCAGACATTTCTATACTCTTGAGTGACCTATTTTATCCTGTTTTTTTTTTAATTCTCAGACTAGTATTGTTATCTTGGATGACTGTGAGTTGGGTATAGCTGTTCAGTTTGGTAACCAAGAGGGCTCGTACAGTTGCGCTGCAGCAAAACGACTCGACATCAAAAAGACGTCAAGGTAAAGTTTCTTCGTCGGCGCATGGATAGAATAAAGGATTTTTAGGGACGGACCATTAGATATGATAATTGGGGGGGGGGGGGGGGGGGGGGGGGGAGGGATAGCAAGAGGTGATACCAAAAAATGCCCAATGTCTCGTGACACATACCAAAAGATCCTTATATTATAAATTACTTTTCCATTGTCACGTGACACATACCAAAGGATTCTTATATTATATACTTTTCGAATGTCACGTGACACACCAAAAATTTCTTATATTATTCATATACTCTTCGAATGTCACGTGACACATACCAAAAGATTCTTATATTATTCGTTACTTTTCCAATGTCACATGACACGTGCCATTAGTGCAGGTCACAGAACCTAAAAAAAACTAATAACGACCGAAAATGAAACTAAAAATTCACTGAGTAAAATGTGGTTAACACATTTAATGTAAATGGTTGTCATAAATAATTTCATTTCATAAATTTTCTTTATTCCTTATACAGGTTCTTCGACCTGACAGGGCCCTTATTGCTAGGGGGGCTCTCACCTGCATTCTCCCAATACCCAATCGCCAACAAGTATTACACAGGCTGCCTTAGGGAACTTTATATTGACTATCATTTACTGGACCTCGCCGAGCCTCAGTTCGCAAATGGCAGCAAAGCCGACTGTGCTGCAAAGAAGGATTTCTGTAGCAACTCCCCATGTAAACGTGGCAACTGCACTAATACGCTAGGTACTTATTTCTGCAAGTGTCCTGAAGACTATGGTGGTAAAAACTGCGAGATAGGTCAGTAATGAGTAGTTGTATGCATTATTACGATAAACATGGAAGAGCCGAACAAAGAAAACTAGTCGTATTATTATTATAGTTTTTTGATTTTCGGTCAAGGGAGAAAGTTCCAGTAGTCTGACTTGTTTTCTTTCCGTTTGACCTTTCAAAGCGCGCGTACTAAGTACTACGGCTATGTTATGCATGTGGCTATGTTATGTGATACGTGGCTATGTTGTGTGACCATGTTATGCGTTTTCTGGCTATGCATGGGTATTTAATAAAAGATGCGAATTACGACACTTAAAGCTAGTTTTTTTCGGAAAAAAAATCCGAGAACCCATTTTTTTTCCGAGAAACATTTGCTTGACTGAAGAAGCGTAATACACATCTTTAACATTAAAGATGTTTCTCACTGTTTTAGTTCAGTTTATCCACTCAAAGCGCGCTTACTTATGACTTAGGGAATAATTCCCTGCGTCAATAGTATAGATTAAAGATGCGCATGTTTTTCTGTACCCAGATCATGGTTTTTATAATAATGACTTTATACGATCCCAAATCAAATAGAAATGTCTCTATTCTTCTAGTTTTAAAGAACAAGATGCGATTCACTGGCGATAGTCTTGTTGTCAAAGACTTTAGAACATCCGCCATTAAGTTGCCATGGAAACAGTCCCTTTACTTCAGAACCAGAAAAGCACGTGGTTTTCTAATCGAGACCCGCTATAGAACAAGCAGTGGAATCCTTAAGGTAAACCTTTGGATTAAGGTGTTCTATACTTGACCTAAATTATACCATAGGCTCAGGTCAAACGTCGAACTTCACATGAACCGAACCTAATTGAAACAATGGATAACAAGGCGGTCTACTTTGAGGTCATTAGGTTCGGCTCATGCGAAATTCGGTGTTTGACATGAGATTTACAGTTTGTAATACGAGATGCATTTAGCAACCATGGGCGGTGAATCGGTAGTACCATTACCTCTCATCTCTGGGGTTTCAGGTTCACTACGTGGACTCAGCATCGCCTGTGATTAAAGTTTGTTGGGAGTTGCTCGATTCAAGGATTTTTTACCGGTTACTCTGGTTTTCCTCCGTCGTTAACCCAACACGCTCTGAAATTCCAATTCGATCTGTGCTCTGTGTTTTAACTGTGTCCTGAATGATCATTCCAGAGGTTGTTTCAGGGTTCGGTCTGTGTGTTAGCCGTGCCTTGACATTGATCATCCCAGAGGTTGTTTCAGGGTTTGATCTGTGAGTTAGCCGTGCCCTGACATTGATCATTCCAGAGGTTGTTTCAGGGTTCGATCTGTGAGTTAGCCATGCCCTGACTTTGATCATCCCAGAGGTTGTTTCAGGGTTCGACCTGTGAGTTAGCCATACCCTGACTTTGATCATCCCAGAGGTCGCTTCAGGGTTCGATCTGTGAGTTAGCCATACCCTGACTTTGATCATCCCAGAGGTCGCTTCAGGGTTCGATCTGTGAGTTAGCCGTGCTGTGACATTGAACTTCCAAGTGGTTGTTTCAGGGTTCGATCTGTAAGTTAACCGTGCCCTGACTTCGACCAGCCCAGATCGATACATTTATGTTGTAATTTCTCTCTCGAGGTGTGATGATGGTAACTGGTTGTTATTGCGGTTTTTTCGTTATTTTCATGTAATACAAAGACTGGAATCTTTTCCTCTTATAGATTTCTGGAGGCAAACTCACATATCAGTACGACAAAAAATTAACCATAACAATGCCTGAACTGATAGTAGACGATGGGGCGTGGCATCACGTGCAAATCACATGGTTACCAGGTCTTGTCAAGCTGACCGCCGATTATATGTACGAAGCATCATCCAAAAGCAGTGGGATTCAATTGGAGTTTACTTCACAGATACTGATTGGAGCAAAACAGGCCAAAAATGTCTCACAGTCGAACATCAGTAAACCATTTACAGGCTGCATAACAGGTTAGCTTAGCTTATCGTTTTATTTTTACTACGACCTCATTTCCTGTCACTCCCTTTCTTTGCTTCCTCTATCCTCCTTCCTTCCTTCCTTCCTTCCATCCATCCATCCATCCGTCCGTCTGTCCGTCCGTCCACCCATCCATCCATCCATCCATCCATCCACCCACCCACCCACCCAGCCACGCACCCACGTACCCACCCACGCACCCACCCACCATCCTTCATTTCCTTCTTCCTTCTACTTCTTTTTCTTCCAGTTTTCTGCTCCTCCTTTTCTTTATTCCTTTATTTCCTCTTTTTTTCCTCTGACCCTTTCTCTTCTTCCTAGCTCTTATTACCAATCGTTTCAAAAGATTATTCGGCCGATAATATACGTTTTCCATTATCTCGCAGGTATATTCGTTGATGGCTCACAACTAGACTTCAATGGTGCTAAGAAGCGCAACGTGTATGATGGCTGTAAATTGCCCTCTCATTGTCAATCAAGTCCTTGTTCAGGGGAAAGTACATGTGTGGAAGGATGGGACAATTACAAGTGTCTGTGTAAGCCAGGCTATGTGGGTAAACAGTGCAAAAATGTGTGTAGCTTCAAACCATGTCAATACGGCACATGTGTGAAAGACAAGTCATCTGCTAAAGGATTCAAATGTTTATGTCCAAGGGAATATACTGGTAAGGATATGTCATAAACCGTATATAGTGTAAAAAAGCTAGTAGCAGGATATGTGTCACATGTGCAAGCAGTGAGAGCGCTTATTTCTGCGGACCATAATGTGAAGGGTTTGATCCCCGGACTTGGGGTCGTATATAAGTAGAGTTGCTTGCTGGGAGAGTTGCAGTTTTGCGAAAGAAGAGGCACTCTATGCAACCACTGTCAGAAAATCTGCAGTAATTCCCCACCCTTATGATTCAATTATATCATTACTCACTTTTTACAAACATCACTCCTCATACGGGGCACTTCCGTGAGGTTCCCTCGACACGCACTTTTACCACAGACTATTTTTTACGACATACAACACTCAACATTTGTTTGACGGGGTTTTATCGAATACAGGTGAATATTGTGAGACACGAATGGAAACGCCATGTCGGGACAAGTTCTTTGGTACTTCAAGTATTGGTCTTTGTGGACCRTGTAACTGTCCAGTAGGAAGAAACTTCAACCCTGTGTGCAACAAGACTACTGGGGAATGCTACTGCAATGTAAGTCAGCAATGTTGTTTTTGTTGTTTTATTTTTGTCTTTTTTTTTTTTTTTTTTTTGCGCACGAGATTTTTTAAATTTCTTATTTTCAATAGAAAAAAGCGTATGCCGTCAGTTCGGCTTTCATAAAATGTTTTCGTTGACTTTAATTAACCAAAGATGATACAAAGCTGGGATGGGCTTGGATATAGAGATTATCATACGTTAAGAGCTTGATATCGTTTTATTCGCGAGTTTCCATGTCATATCGCAAACGAGCGAGTCTTCGAATGAGTGAGCGAGTCTTCGAATGAGTGAGCGAGTGATATGATATGAAAAACGAGTGAATGAAAAAAGATATCAAGCTCTTAACAAGTTGTTTTATTACACATTTAGGGTACAATAACAAAACGTACAGTTTACCGTGAAGTGGTATCGTATCACTTCACTGATATGGTTTTTCACGGCTTTATCACTCTGATATCGAACCTAAATGTGTAATAAAGTAAAAATATCATTTGGTGCCAAGGCAAAACACGTTTGCCAACAACTGTTTATTTGCGTTGATTTAAAATACAAATAAGAAAAAATATTTTTACGAAACATGGTCAACAGAACTTTTTGCAAATATTGTCATAAAGTCAACTTTGAAATTCATTGTTGGGATATGGCAAAAAAATTGCCCCATGTAACTTTGCTTGTACGATCGTAAAATATGCGGGGAAATAGGTATATCGTGTATGTCATTCACCATATAGTAAATAATACAAAATGCTTGTTTTCCACAGCCCAACCATTACCGTAAAGTGGAAGGTATTGGCTTGAGTAATCAGTGTTACAAATGTAACTGCGAATCTATTGGTAGCTTGAGCCAGCAGTGTAATGTTCGTTGGGGTCAGTGCCCTTGCCTCAAAGGTACTACCACGGGTGCTAAGGTTATTGGAAGACGCTGTGACCTGTGTGAAGACAAGCAAAGTGAAGTCACAAAATACAAGGGCTGCGTAGGTAAGTAAGACTATTATTCTCGTCAAGGTGTGATTGATAGTGGTTTTGCACTACCACTTGCCGGCGGCGATCACTGATGGCAGAACAATAGAATCCCAAATTTAGTAGCTTTACTTTCTGGAATTCTTCGATTGCACGTTACGTCATCGCGGCCATGTTGGTACCATTTAACAAAAGATTCCTCATTAGCATCCATTGTTAACGGTACCACAATGGCCGCCATGCTTTTGTCTTTTAACTCTCTTGGGAATGATTGCAACCCGTCAATGGAATTATTTCTCATGTAAAACGATCGTATTGTTCTGTCATCAAACATGGCTGTCGTCACGTGGTGGTGCCCCCTTGCACTGAGTCCCTAGAGGAATTGTTCTGGCGGACAAAACATTGGATTTTTTTTGGATAAAAAAAGGCGGACTATTGTTTTGTCCCCCAGAACAATTCCTCTAGGAATTCAATGCAAGTGGTCAATGGTTCTTCATTACCATGATCTTCACCATCAAAGGAAATCCTTTTTATGACATCATAATCATTATCACCCACATTAATTATGCTTCCTTATTATCATCATTCATCATCAGCACCAACGCCATCACGCCATCACCACTGTCATCACTATCACCATTATTACCATCGTATTTGCCATCATCACCAATACTATTAGCTTTTATTAAATAACTGTTATAAATCTCGCGTTCTGATTGGTTGTGAGCGCGTTCTTTATGAGAGCACACAGCACGCGCACGCACTTTCAGTTGCGTCATTCCTATCTAAAATAACGGTTATTGTAATTTGTATTTTATAAAAATACGCTACCTGCCGTGCTTCTCCTAAAACTTTTCTCGTGTTCTGCCAACCCCCGCGTGCTTTATAACTGCACACAGCACGCGCGCGTTTTCTATTTCTTCAACAATTACTTTCTATTACTTTCGTATTTATACTCTCTACATTATCCTCTTTTATTTTATCAAATCAATTATTTCTACATTTCTCATTAGTTATCAACACATCGTGTCCACGATCAATGTCTGAAGATATGTGGTGGAAGAGAGGCACCTTTAACATGTTAGCAAGGCAAAAATGTCCTTTCGGTGCTTCAGGTAAGCAACAGAATTTTTGTTAAGACATCTAAACTTGAATAATCCTAACGACAGCTGTAACAGCCGTGACAGAGATTTGAGAGTAGACTTAAGGGACTGATGTTGCCCGGGGTCCTTATCTTCTTAGAATAGGATGAAGCAGTATAATCGCAGGTAAGGTGTCCCTAGTCCTAGGCACAAGTCTTTATTTTCAGTTGTTTCTTTAAAAGACACCAAGAACAAAATATTTAGCCCTAATAGTACGGTTACCATTTCCTTATCCAAACTACTTTTAGGTCTTTCCAGTGCTTTTCGCCTAAGTTACTCTGATGCCAGGCACAAATCATTTTTCCAGAAGACTTAGCCCTAGCAGTAACATCACCATATCCTATAACTCTACTGTAAATGACTCTTAGGTCTCTCTAGTATTTTCTCTTTGTGTCAATCTTTATGTAGCAACTAACTGCGGTCCTTTGTTAAAATATTTGCAGGCACTGCTACTCGATACTGTGACCAAGACAAAGGATGGGGAAAAACCAACCTAATGGATTGCGTATCAAACTCCTTCCTCAATCTACGGCGAACGGTAAGTATTAACTTAACTTTCAGTCAAGTCTTGTGCGTTTATTGTTCGTTTATTAGTGCATTTTTTGTATGACTGTGAAAAGCTCAGTGCCGTAAGCGTGAGGTGCCGTGACCGTGATGCTTTCTAGAATTTTAATTGGCTGATTTTTTTCATGCGCAATGTGATTGGTCTGGCATTGCCGTGACCTTGGCGTGACCTTGTCCGCCCCGTATTTATGCCGAGTTCCGGGTATTTGATTGGATGGAGAGTAAGTTCTCGTGCAATGTGATTGGTCTGGCGTATCCCTTGCCGTGTCATGGCCGTGTTCGTGCCGTGAATTTTTCACAGTCATACGAAAACTGCACTATCCGTTTATTATTCGCGCACATGCTTATTATTATTTTGAAATATATATTTTTTTGCAGCTTAAAAATCTCGATAAGAAAGAGCTTTTATGGTCACCAGAAATAGCAATGGAACTTGTCCGTGATCTAGACCTTTCGATCATTCTAGCCACGCGATTGTACCCTAAAGATATAGAAATCGCTCTGAGGACCATCACTGTGCTGTTCAACTATGAAAGTCAACAGAACGCGAGCACTCTTGTCTCAGCGAAAAACCACCAGTTCGCCCAGGTAAGAAATAGTGATATATGTGACCAATGATGATGATGATGATGATGGTTCATGATGATGATGATGCTGATGGTTCATGATGATGATGGTTCATGATGATGATGATGCTGATGGTTCGTGACGATGATGATGATGATGATGGTTCATGATGATGATGGTTCATGATGCTGATGGTTCATGATGATGATGATGATGATGGTTCATGATGATGATGATGATGATGATGATGGTTCATGATGATTATGATGCTGATGGTTCATGATGATGATGATGATGGTTCATGATGATTATGATGCTGATGGTTCATGATGGTTATGATGATGATGGTTCATGATGATTATGATGATGATGGTTCATGATGATGATGATGCTGATGGTTCATGATGGTTATGATGATGATGGTTCATGATGATTATGATGATGATGGTTCATGATGATGATGATGATGATGGTTCATGATGATAATTATGCATGTTCATTGACGAGGATTTCGATGATGACGATGATGATGATCGATAAATGATCTGAGATGATTATTCATGATGATGATGTTGATAACAATAACAATAACAGTAATAAATAGTTATGGATTTTATTCAATAATTACGATACATGAGTAACACAAGCAACACAATGTTTTTGGTTGCAGATTTTATTCCAGGCTGCGAGCATGTTGTTTAATTCTGACAACGCAGAAGTTTGGAATGTCGTACAACGAGTAAGTGATCTTTTTTTAAAATATCAATCTTCCACCTAGAAGTAATGGCCACCTTCGAAGGGGACTTCCGATCTTCATCTTGTTTAGCTTCAAAGCCACTAATGAGTATTAAAGTGCTCAAGTGTCCTTATTTACACATCGTGCATAAAAGATTTTGAGTTTACTTATCTATGTATCGAGTCAAAAATAGCCATCGAATTCTGACATCCACTCATAACTTAAATTAATTATCAGTTATAATATTTTTTCGATCTTTCTTAACGAAAACATCATGCTCGAAGTAAAGAGTCCTACCATGCACCCTTTGAAAGCGTATGAATCTTCTTCAATTTCCATTATCTTACAAAGATTCCATTTAATGTAGCTTTGACATTAGCTTTAGTTCAGTCATTCCATTGTATTAATGATTTTACATTCGTCTACAGTAGTATTTCACTGATAAGAATCAGAATTTCACTAATTTGTTTATCAACAACGTATATTTCTATCATTAAAAATCACGGATATGGTAGATGAAAGAAAATCGCCACCACCAGGGCCCAGTTGTACGAAGCCTGGATAGCGCTATCCGGCGGATAAATCCTTATCTAGTGGATAAGTCGATGCTGTTATCCARTAAATTTATCCACTGGATAAGATTTATCCGTTGAATAGCGCCATCCAGGCTTCGTACAACCTTGCCCAGAATAAGAATCATAGTCTTCAGGGTCGTACGATATCCATACACATCAAAGATCGATTTGTTAACCTGGTTTTCAGTATTCATAGATTTCAGTTCAGAGTAATTTTGTGAAGGAAGTAAAATGCTAAGGAACAACATTATGTTATTAGCGCAAGAAGGATACTGATGCCTGTGATTGTTTTATTTCTGGAGTTTCGTATTTCTGTGTTCGAGAACGATCGATACGAAGCTCCCATTATTAATGAATCTCCTAGCCATCCAACAAGAAGAACAGCTACAACACGTCTCATTGTATCGATAAGAAAATCTGATTTTAATAGCAAGGAAGCGATCCACACTGATTACCGCCAAGGTATACTGAGACACACCAGCAAAACAGAATAACGATTGCTCCGTACAGAAGATCTGTTGAGGCCTAACTGGAAAGAAAACGTTTAGATGGCTTATGAAGAGCAGAGGTTTTCCAGATGCTCATCAGGACAAGCAAGTTGAGAAAAATGTTGGCACTTCCATGACCGAGAAGAAAGTCATCTGAAACATCCGAAATTCTCGCAATTCGTAGAAGATCAGACCACTCGTAAATTATGATACTGACGCCATACTTCACGAGCCGAGGATGAACCTCTTTGTAGTACAAAGGTAGTACGAAGGCGGTCTGTCTTGCACAAGCCTAAGTCATCATTATAATGCTTTAAAGAGTATTAGAGATATAGGTACTTTTTTGGGTTTACAAGGGAGCTTGAAAATACTTCAAAAAATTTTTAATTGTTCATGAGTGCATCCAACTTTTTCAGTATTTTCAGCCATTTCAATAGATGTTACCATACTTCTTTGTCTCTCTAATATTTTATATTCATCTTACAATTTTTCGTAGAGAGGAATTTCTAAAGGAGAACTCGAAAAGAAAAGAAAACATGAATAAAAGATAGGAGGAAAGAAAGAAAGAAGATAGAATGAATACATGATAAAGCAGTGAATGATAGCGGAAGGAATGACTGAATGAATGAAGGACAGAACGAAAAAATACCTTGAAAATGTTAAATCGAATTGCAGTGCCTATAGCGGAAACAGTCTATATGGAAAATCCATAGTTTATTTCCCAAAAGTACAGCAAATCAGTTAAATTAAGCATACAATTTACAATTTGTAGTCTCATATTCTTATAATTTTTTTAGCCCAAGCCATGGCTGCTAGTCTCAGCTCTTTCATTCGCCATAAATACAACAACGGGATGAGAATAGAACGAATGATCGTAAACGATTCGTTGACGCGGGAAACATAATTCGAAAGAATCTTAATTCGAAAGTTTTCTATCGTTAAGAAGATGGAATGAGGCACATAGCAAAAAATGACGGCTAAGAGAACTATTATCATCGTATGAAAACTTCTTGTGTACTTAGAGACGTTAAAACTTCTAGCACCGTTGGGAAGCTGCTCGTCACGAGATCCTGTCGATACTTGAGTGGTCATTTTCTTCAAGTGATAATATGACATAGAATAGAATATAGTCACTGCTGCAAGAAGAGCAATTATGTACAAAGATGAAAGTTGAAAGAAAATTTCTCTCGGTGTCTCAACGAAGAACACCTTCATGGAAATCTCCGCCATGATGTTGTAAATCCAACCGCCCAACAAGATGTGGATAACACGCTTGTTTGTAACAACGCTGCGATACGTAAACTTAATCCTAATAGCGAGAAAGCGGTCGATGCTGATGTATACTAAAGTTAGTAAGTTCACTCCACCAAAGCAGAAGGAGAAAGATAGTGCTAGCGTTCGACTAATGCAGTAGACATTCTCCCATCTCTCGGCCACAGCAATTGAAATTGCTGCTAAAGGGCAATAAACCATTCCAATCAAGAAATCCGTCAGGGCAAGGTTGGCGAGGAGGAGTTGCGATGGTTTGTGCAGCGCAGGCGTCTTCCAGATAGCTACAAGTACCGAGAGGTTAAGCAGAACTATTGGTACTGCCAATATTACGTTAGCCACGGCGAGATAAACCCGTGCTGAAGACACTGCGAGAAATTCTTGGCTTGTGTTACAAGAGACCGACATTTTCTCTACCTTCGGATCTTAACTTTTATCCCCTTGTTCTTCATCTGCGGATCGCCATCTGCTATCTCTTTCAATGTTTCAAATTTGTTTTCTTTGTTCTACCTTCACTTTTAAGTGTTTTTAATTATTTCATTTATTTTCATTATGATGCGAACAATGCGAAGATATAATTGCTTTAAGTCAGTCCTTCAATTGATTGAATTTCTTATACAAATATTCTTTCGCAACATTTCCCCCCC